TTACGTTCGAAGGCGCCCGCCAGAGAGAGGCCAACGGGATTTTCAGTGTCTGCCAATGGTTCCCAGAGAGCTGCTCTCGGTTTCCTTTATTACGCCGCGAGCCCTGTGCCGATCGAACCGTATGCGTCAAGCTGATTCGCATTCCGCGCGGCGGTACACGGTATTCTGTTGCTGTTGGTCCTGATCCTATACTTTCCCCCAATTTCACCAATACAAAATCTTCTTACTGTAATGGACGCAAGGAAGTTTCTGAACCATCGATTGGGTTCACTCCGTGACAACCGTAAGCGTAACAGTACGCGAAATGGTTTATCTGCAATTTTTAGCAGTAGGGTAAACGCACGAATGAATGAATAGTTAAGAAATTTTGTAGGTATCATAGTCGAATGTTAAATGATAGTTATATTAATAAATACTTGGCACGTGAAAATTTGATATTTTAATATCTATACCCGTTTATTACGTAAAGATTTCAATTTGAAAAAATTGGAAAAATGTAATTAATTAAATTTAGACGAAAATATACAGAGTTCACCAGTCAATGAATAATACAGTAATGGCTCGATTAATGCAACGTACTCGGGTCCGCTTCGGAGCATTCATGGCAAGGCGGAAAGGTTTTCCTAAAAATCGTCTCAGTTTGGAACATAATATTATTTAACATTAACGTGTTAAGCAATAACATGTTGTGTATGTTTACAACTTTTCCACAAAAAATCCATCAATCCGGGAAATTTGAAAGTGCAATGCGTGTCAATAATTCCACGTCATCGTTTCGTAAGTTTTTATCGGATTACAGAATTTCGACGATGCATCAATTATGAAACTCGAATCCATCGTCCGGCGAAACGCGGAAATTCACGATCGTTAAGCGACCACGAATTTTCCCTGAATTATAGCTCCCTTGATAAGCCTTATCGCCGTAAATTAACAGACTGAACGATTAGGTAGACGCGGCTGGGGTTAAATGACCGGGTCGATGAAGCGATCCTCGAGTAGATTTCTGAAGCGGTTCGAATCGCAACGCCTCCCTCCCTCCTCCACCTTCAATCTTCTCGAAATTGCAAGCTTGCGCTTAGCGATACGTCTTATCGTTTCCAATTAAGAATAATGTAAGGCTGACACGAGCTAAATAAAGGCCGGCTGTCTTGACGCTCGAGAGCATCACAGCCGGAGCTAAATCCTCTTGGAATTGCAATTTCCCACGGGCCAATTTGGCGATACGCCTTATCGATCATTAACTGAAAATGTTCGATTAATTACCATCGTAAAACGAAGATGCTCTTTCTCTACGATACAAATAATTGGGCAAGTATTACGTGGATGACGAATCTCGGTTAAAAATATTGGCTGTAACAGCAAACTAGGTAATGATATAAATTGCATTAGGTTCCTTACAACAGCGTTTTCCAAACTTTGTTCCGCGATAAGTGAATAAATGTTCCATGAAAAATTATTCTTATCTTTCTTTTTAAATAATTACTCACAGTTACACAAAAATTTGTTCACGTTTATTCAACCACGTACTTACCGAACTGCGAGATTTTATTTTGAAATTAAGAAATACATGTCACAAAAGGACAATACAAGTAAAAGTAATTAGTATATATAAGACGGAATTGCATAAAGATCTGAACACTTAATTATTATTTCGGAACTTTGCGAACGAATTTCGTGAGTCACTAAAACCTTTAATATTTCAACATTTTTTTCAAGTAACATTCTAGAATAAACGTTTGTTCCATTTATTTCTACCTTCGTACCTTACAATATAACCAAGGTATTCCTTGAAAATTCCACGATTCGTGAAGTGTCACGTCGTAGGAAAAGTTTGGGAAACCACTGCCTTACATAATCAATATTCCTCCTTCAAAATGAATTCCACAGTGTTTCAAACTTCGCTAAGAACACATTGAATCGTTCAGAAAAAATGCAAAGTGTATCCAATGTTTCAATCATGTTCGACACATCCGTATCGATCACGGATGGTTCAATCGCTTGAGAGAAACCGACGTTCTCTCTTGTCGAGGTAAAGACAAAAAAAAGGGGAGGGGGAGGGAACACAATATCACTGCGAAATCTCGAGTTTTCCAGCCCGATAAAATGAATTGCATATCGACGGTAGAGAGGATCAGAGGCTGGGTGAATGCACCGTGTCTTGATAAAGGGCACGGGACCGGATTTTCCCGCGCTCGGCCCAGTAATATTCTCATAGAACCGAATGCACTTTTCCATCGGACGGGGACAGGGGAAGGGGTTATTTATTTCCTGATATATGCACGCGGCCCCGAGAATACATCCACTTGCATCAGCATCGAATTCCTTCCGCTGCTCCTCCGTGCCAATTCGTTGAACCGGAAAACGCATCGGACCGGCGTCGAACCTTATTTTCCAAGCATCGGCGCTGTCGGTCCCACGGGTATCCTTCGATCAGATATTCAAACCGTGGATCGTTCTTATCTGCACGTTAAGCGAAAATCATTCGATTCGCTTAAACGTCCAGGCACACCGTCCCTCCTCCATTACTGTGACGCATTCCCGCGAGACGTTAGTTTTCTGGGATTTAATTAAATCGAGAATTATCGCCCGTCGTCCACACGCCGGGAAAGCTCAGCCCCTCGAAACAAGATGCCGAACGGGCCAGATAAATCGCTCTCTCGTCCCATTGTGCACGACGTCGATTCGCCTTGGGATTCGAATTTTGCAGTCCTGGAAAACTTTATGCTCGGTAAAGATTGAACATCGTGTGGAATAATCTTTTTTTTTTTTTGGTGAATACTTGCAATTAGAACCTCCGATTTCGATGATTTTTTAATATGTTGTGAAATAATACTTTCACAATACTACTCAGGGTGATGACCTTTACAACATATTAAATAGTCATCTAAATCGGAGGTGGCTCATTTATTGTAAATATTTAACTGTTTTTTATACTTATATTGAATCGTTGCTTTTGCAGATGTTTGTGCTCGTTTTTCGAGACCCTTAATTTTCTTTGATTTTTTCCGGGGGAACGTTTGGGGCGGTCGAGGGACGATCCTCTCGGGTGATCTCTGGTCATCTGGGACACGTAAGTTGGGCAAAGAAAAATCTCGAGGGAAGTTTTCTCGAGCGTGAAATCGCGGTTTTGCAGTCTGTTTGTGCCCCTGCTATAATGTCTGTATGTTCCTTTGAGAATAAGAAATTTAAGTATTACCCTTGTATTTGGATGGTTCATTAAATGTTGGTTTGTTTTCTTTTTTTTTTTAATATCTATGTGGCATAGATGTGGCACTAGGTCCGTGAATTATTAACGATCAAACAAGGGATATTGGAAACGAAGGAAAAAAATCAGAGAATTCGGAGAAAGAGAGATCCGTTCTAGTTAGAGGAAGGCAAAAGTAATTTGGGAAATTGTCGGTGCAAAATTGAGAGGAAAAAATGGGGTTATCGGAGAGTACACTCGCGAAATATTCCGGGAAATTCGAAAAAGGGGTAACTCAACGGAGACACTCCGAAAAATCAGAAGAAAAAAAAGGTATTCAGCTGGTAAAATCGGAAGACGGAAGATGATAAGTTCAATAGTAGGGGCAAAAGTACAGAGAAAGGTATTCGAATCTTGAAGTAGAGAGAAGAATATTTCAAAGCAAGGGGAGAAAAAGAAAAATCACCCAGGAAAGAGAGTGAAAATTCAAGGAGGAGAAGAAAAGTGTATAATGTAAATTATGAAAATATTCCAAGAAACTGGCAATGGTAAATTAAATTAGCTCGGCAAAGTTTGAAACAAGACAAGAGATCCATTATAATACCACCGCATTCTGAAAATTTCCCGCCAATAACGTTCCTTTCTCATTTTCCACGAAATCGTCTGAAAAATATGCGAATATTGTTCTCATTTGATGCGCACAATACCGTCCAGTACCACAGTCCAGGAGGAACACATTATCATCGACACGCGAAATAAATTAGCCGGCGACAAAAGGAGTGCCGATAACCGGAGTCGTTGAATTGCCGTAAAAAACAATGGCGCGCACCGTACTGCGCCAAAAGACCCCGTGAATCACGACATGCATTTTCGGACGAGGAGACAAAGCAGCCGGGAATCTACGATTATAAAATACCAATCAGCCATCGGGACAATGGGTCGCACGTTATACAATGGTTATCTAGCGTGTCCTTTAATTCTGTATCCTCCGTAACTGACAGTAATAAATTAAGTAAAACAATCGTGTACAATGATCTCCGGGTTCGAACACGCTGTTATATACAGAATGTTTCAATAGGTTCGTGTTAAATTGATGCAAATTGTTCAGGAGGTACAAGGATCAATTTGAAATCTTTTTTATTTTTATTTTTGTTAAGACCCCGAAAGTTAAAGAAGGATTTTTCTTTTTGGTTCGTACTTTAGCCAAACACATCCTAATATACGAACCTTTTGGTTTTCTTTTATTGCAGATAGATAGAATAACCAGAATCACGGACACCATTGTTGTTGTATAAGTGACTGTATACGAAGTCATGCAGTATGCCAATTTTTGTTTTACAAATGTTATAAATACATAATATAAAATCACCCTAAAATTTTCAAATGTAATGTATTGTGGTTAAAATAAGAACGAAGCACTTCTAGGGAATATAATCTATTCTATTCTGGAGAAACATGATTTCTGAACACGATTTCAGACATGCCATACTTGGTTCGTTTTTATATTAACCAGAATACATAAGAATTGACAATTTTAGGGTGGTTTTATAGTCATGCCACACATTGTAGCTTCTTCAAACAAAAAGTCCCAAGTATATTACATTCCAAAACGGGCGTGTCCACGCTAGACCACCCCTTTAATAGACGACGATTCTTTTATTCCCCTACAACCCTTCGAAAAATCATTTTCGAACATCGGTGTCGCATCAACTTTCTTCATTTATTTCATGTGAATATTCTCTGCATAAATTTCGTAACGAATATATTGAAACACACACCCGGTACAGATATTCATTGTTCATCCGGTTGTTTCCAGGGTCCCTGCTGCACATCCGGCTGCACTCTGCGCAACGGCGATAAGTGCAGGGACGACAACGGATGCAGAGACGCGAGCTTCTGCGACGGTGGTGGTCCCCAGTGTCCGCCATCCATCAACAAACCTAACAAGACCATATGCAACGACGAGTTCGTCTGCTACATGGGGGTGAGTGTGTACACATTTCTCTGCCCCCCTTCCCTCCCCCTGTTCTGCGTGTTCCGAGGAAAGTTCCCGTCGCGTCTATCCACCGAGGCCCACACACCTTTTCACGGAGAGCCGTTGATGTACGAGCGAAAGTTTACGAAAGTGGTCAATCCATTTCACTGTCAGAATCTGCGGGCATTAGGGAAACTTGCGGTATACGCGTGTGTACGTCCCTTATGATCGTTGATAACGTTATCATCGTGGACCGTAACAGACATACGAATGCTACAGAACGTTTTCTTCTGCATTTTTTGTAACCCATTTGCATCAGTACCGTATTTTCCTTGTGATCAATAGGCTGCGTATGTTTATGCAAATTCACAATTTCAGATACCAGTATTTAGAAATTCCAATGGGAAAGAATTTTGAATTTAACACTAGGACCTTTACTACCTTAACACGTTTACTGCCACAGTGAAAAAGGCCGTACGTAGCCAGACACACTTTATTTCGTTTTTTAAGTCATAAATTGTCGAAAATATTTGAGTTTAGTTAATAGAGGCTGTAGGTCTTGTTTTAAATTATACTGTGATATTAATTTCATGCAAACATTTTATAACAGTGTTTAAATAATCCAGACACTTTTCAATGTACGTGTCACCCATATTTGGGTGACGTGGCAGTCAAAGTGTTAATGGAAACACATTAATGCTAGTAATCTACACTAAAATCTTTATTTCATTACATTTTCTAAGGGAACGCTATAAATGCACAAATTTCCGCAGACTAGTGATCAAGTGGGTATTTGTGTGTCCCTTCTGAACGGGCGAATTCTGCAGTCGAATGTGAATCACTCGATCTTTTCGACGACCATAGAAAATCTTGTCTCGATCACAGTGAATTGTTTCAACTTTTATAAATTCTTTGTTTCTCTATCCACCGTCGAGGAACCAAGATAGAGTAATAAAGATTTATCTCGATGGGAAATGAAGAATTACGCCGCGTCTACTGAACCATCCGAAGTCCCATTTCGTCGAGCTTATGGAGCGAATTTATGAAATCGTCGCTAGGGGCTGACGATAGCGGCCGAAATTACTCGCGCGAATTTACGATTTTCCCCAACCCGACAAAGCTTCTCCTCGCTGCTGCAGCACGGCTAGTTACTTATTCATTGGACCTTGTTCACCGTTTCCGCGATCGTAGCAGGAAACACATAATACAGTATACGCGAGATCAAAGTTACAGGCGTGAACAAAGACGAGAGACCTGGGGCTGGAAAGACAGAAGGCTTTCCTCATTGTTTATTGCGGGCGTTGCGTACCGCTTTTAAAATTAACTCACCGAAAATTATTTCTCGTACAATTATATACAGACTGTGCACAAAAATGGTCTAAGACTTTAGGTGCTTTTTAGTATTCACCGAGTGGAGTAAAAAATGTCTAATTGACATAGGCCCCGAAATCAATCCTACCAGAGTAATATTAACTTGTATATTTATATATTAATCAATGTTGTAAATGGATTAAATATAGAACGTCTGTAACAAACGTGGAAAGAAATTTGTGGATTATTCTTTTAAAGGATTCATTTTAAGAACCTACTCTTCCGTCCACAAGTATTAGGACACTTAACGAATACAGTAAATCCTGGATGTGTATTCGAAGGCACTGATAAGAGGTCCCCAGATGTAACGCTGACATTTTGATGAGGTTTTTTAACTCTGAAGCCAATGGTATTTGTTTCAGCCGCATAGTTTATGAAATATTTAATATTCAGTGTCGAGCAGCCTCCGAACACTCATCGACGATTTACTGTACAAAGTAACTGGAATAAGATACTACGAAATTGTCGAAAGTCTTACATAAATATCTTTTATAAGATCTCCCGTTCATAAGTATTAAGACACCTCATCTGTATGGAGAACACGTGATGTACCACAAACATTATAGATTTTGGCCCACTTTTATTACTATATACTTAAATAAACGTTCTCCATTGATTTTTAAGACCATGGTCTAATACTTATAGACGGGAGTGTAGGCTCTTAAAATAAATCCCTTCAAAGAACAATCCACAAATTTCTGTTCTCATTTGTTACAGAAATTCCATATATCTACCACTTAAGACATCGATCGACTCGTAAATATGGAAGTTAATTTTAAAGGAAGGATTGATTTCAGGACCTACATTGATTCAGACATTTTTTACTCCACACGATCATCACTACAAGCCCCTAAAGTTTCAGACCATTTTCTTTTCAAGACCCTGTAATATTTTCCACGATTGTTTCTTCTCGTACGGTAACGACGTGAACCTCGATTTTGGTTTATAGATCTCCCCCCTGGGGCGAATTTCAAGTTTCCATTAGTTCTCGATCGGGACAAGCTCACGGGAAAATCCGCAGTAGCTTCGGAAATGAAACGACCGAAGATCTCCGCATCTGGGGAAGAGCTTACGATCAGTTCGAAGAAGAATCCCCGGGGGAGCGATTTCGAAATGTTACGCGTGTGGCATTTCCCTACGCGTGCGCGTCTCCGAGGTTTTCCTTTCTCTTGCCACCGTATATATCCCCTCGTGTCTCGAGGGGTAGGGTTAGATTTAAGGCTCCGCGAGAACGCATAGGCAGAATGAAATACCCTTCAGCCGGCAGAAGCATATTCATCTGTCAGAAAACCTTGAGACTCCTCCCGCGATCGAATCGGAGGCTAAACCGCTGCGGGAATACAGACGAGAGTTGAAGTGAATTTTCCTCCCCCTCAACCGTTGCAACGAAACCAGGGAAGCGTGCGGGACGTCATTGTTCGTGACAGAATCGAGCACAGCACGAAGGGACGTTATAAGAAACAGACGGATCGTGTCTGAGTTTAGATTTCAGTATCGTTCGATCGAATATCTGGATCCCAGAGCTAGAGGGTAGTAAGTTACACTTTTCAAACTTTCGAGGAGAACAAATCCAAAGGTGCAAAAACCTTGTTACTTTGGAACCGTTCTGTAAGAATTCAACGAGAAAGAATCACTACTTTTGAACCATTGAATGGACTTAGGACATATAGAAAATAGATGCTAACTTTGTCATGTCTCCGTTATGTTTGTAAGAGGCATTAATGTTTCACAAATGGAAAATTCTGACGTAATTTTTCTATTTAACACCTTGGCTGCCGTGGGTGTCACCGGTGACCACTCTAGGGAGTATACTTTTCGATATTATTAATATTGAACCATAAATCGGTAAACTTCTACGAACTAAATGCCAAAAGTATGATAACATAGTTGACTTTAATCATTTTATATAACATTTTATTCTTGTACACTGTGTAACGAAAATGTAACTTCGACGATGTTAATTATCTTTTCCCAGTCGAAATATATTCGATGTGTGGAAAGTCTTCTGAATTTACTCGATTCGAATCAGGTAGAATCATTTTACGGTGATGCACGATATTTTGTTTCCTAATAGGTACAAAATGTCTGCAGGGGGATCGAACAATAGTTTCTTGTGGCGAGGATTAAATTGCTGATGGGGTCTAGCAACTAAGAACCAACACGGGTCCTTGGCGCATTGTCCGTCGACAGCGCGGAAACGCAAAAGCAAATTGCGAACGGCAGCTGACTATCCTGTTCCGACCCTGCTGATATTGTACTTGCAGATTAGAAAGCGAGTATTTTGGTAGTATCGATTCTCCTGGCCGGTGGTGCATACACGTCGAAACTGTTGCACGTGTGCGGCACGGAAACGCGTTTTCCGCTTGGCCGAATGTAATCGAATGTTTCGACTTGCAACTGCGACCGAAAGAAATGACTAACGCTTTGGTCCGTACCACTTTTTGCCTTCGAAATTCACCTATAATTGTGTGGGATCGGGTTTGATACGTCGAGCCTAATTGCTGTATGATTGGGTAATGATTTTTTGAATATTTAACCCTTAATTGGTGCTGTGGAAATGTTATTAGTTATTACGAAAACTTTATTACACAGAAATCTTATTATTTAAATACTATTTATTATACAAATCTTACACAAAAATTAATCTTAAATGGAAAAAGCTCTTTCATCAAACGTAACGAATTCTCCATTTTGTCTTTAATCTAATAAGATATTCTGGAGAAGAAAAGAATTTCAACTTTTGGTCTTGTCTTCGTGGAACCGCCACATTATAAGGTATTATTTTGAATATTAATTCCAAGGTTTACTTCGTAACCAGTTGTTTTGCATTCGCACGTAAGAGAACATCGAAATAAACAAGTGATTATCGGACAGAAATAAAATATTGTAAAAATATTCGTGGTGTTCCACAAACCTCACATCACCAATTAAGTGTTGTACCACCTATACAGTGGTGTGGACAATTGGGGCATCATAATCAACCCTGTATACACAGGATGTCGCGAAACTCGTGGTAAAACTCGAAAGTACATGATTCTACATTGAAAAATAAGTCGAAAACGCAGAATAAAATTTTTCCGTACGATGCCTCGTCTCCAATACAATCTTCAATCATCCAATAAGTAGAAACAGACTGCAACGATCAGACTCCTTCGCTACATCGAATCTTCCGATTCTCTCGAGAACGAAGCATCGTGCGAAAAAATGTTATCCAACATTCTCGACTTATTTTCACACGTAGAATCACATATAATTCTAGATTGTACCGCCACCTGAAAAAACAGCCTGTATAACGATAAAAGGAAACGAATTGTCGAACTAAAACGCCCCGAGAACCATCTCGGTCTCCCTCAAGTATATTTAACGGCGGGTGGTATACACAAGGGGCGTACATTGTTGCAGCAATTGCTGGGAAAGGGTTACGCGCTACGAAAACAGCCATCATAATTTCGAAAATTACTTTCGTGGCCTCAGACTAACCCTCCCCCTATCTGTTAGGTATACTACGTAAAGCTGTGTTCCAGCTAGGTAAACAACGGGAATGGGATTCGTAAGAGAATAACGTTCTAGTCCTTGGGCTTATCTATCTTCGGCGCTCCCCGTGGAAATTACCTCGTATTTAGAGGTTTATGCCGTGTAGGCTGACACTTTATCGGGCTCTTGCATTGCTTCCAGGAATGCACCGGCAGCATTTGCCTGGCTTATGGCTTGGAATCCTGTCAGTGCATCGCCGGTCCCGAGGATCCCCCTACCAAGAGCTGCGAACTATGTTGTAAATTGCCAGGAGAGGATCAACCGTGCCTGTGAGAGACGATCATTGTATATATGTATATATGGTATATGTATATACCCAGACGGGGTTTCCATCGCGCGTTGAAAGTCTACTGCGCCAGTCGTTTCGCTCCCGGAATAGTTTCGGCCTGAAATGGCGTCGTGTCTCGCGACCCCCGCGAAGAAATTAGACGACCTCGCGATAACCGTCTGGCGGGGGTTCGTTTGATCGATGTCTCGTCGCCCGTGGCTTTGCCAAGTCGCTCTTTGAACTGAATTCTTGCGTTCACCAGACCTTTCCGTTCGCGAACAATCGCAATTATTCAACTTTCTGTCTCTCCGAACCCGTTTGAGGAAAATATTTCCGTCGAATGGAATGGATAATTGAATTTGTCGATTCTGGGCCTAGTTGCAGAGAATATTTCTGTCGGATGAATGGATATAATGGATAATGGAATTTTTCGGAATGACGAAGAAGCGAGAGGATATTGTGAGATCGAGTAGGGGAAACAGAAAGTTGAATTGTCGGCTGGCCCCCAGGGATCAGATAAATCAGATGTCATTTGAAATCGTTTGCAGATCGTCCTTCGCATGGAATTCAGCGCCTTACGATATTCCTGACATGCTGTCGAAGCCAGGCACACCGTGCAACGATTACAATGGCTACTGCGACGTCTTCCAAAGATGTCGAGAGGTAAAAGTTGAGTTCGATCCCACCTTTATCCGTCTACAGCGAATGTGAAGTCACGGTCAAAGTAATCGGAAATCGTTTGATTAATCAGCTGTTACCGTATACTTTCCACGCAATTTCCTTTTTTGACATTTCCTCAATTTCCTTTCAAAATTCCTACAATTTTCTTTCGAAATTTCCACGATTTCCTTTCGAAATTTCCACGATTTTCTTTCGAAATTTCCACGATTTTCTTTCGAAATTTCCACGATTTTCTTTCGAAATTTCCACGATTTTCTTTCGAAATTTCCACGATTTTCTTTCGAAATTTCCACGAGGAAACATCGGAAGCGATCCGCGAATTAACGATCGTGTTTCAGGTGGATCCCAGCGGACCGTTGGCGACTTTGCGGCGACTCCTGTTGTCGGACGCTAGTTTAGCCAGTTTCCAACGATTTCTGGCCGATTACTGGTACATCGTCGCGATCATTGGCTTCGCGATACTGTTGATTCCGGTGAGTAAGCCCGACCCCGTTCACGAGAATATCAACGGGAGTTGGAACCTCGACGACAGCAGTTTGTTGTTGAGAACTCGGTTTTTCGGAAACAGGGAAAATAGCTTTTCCTCGTGATCCATGAGGGCGACAGGTGAAAAGCATCACTATCCAACGACGTGGCTGTGTCGAACACGCGCGTGGAAACCGTTGCGGACGCGTCGAATATCCATGTAAAATCAATCACGTGTCTTGTCAATTAAAAACTTGTGCAAACGCGAAAAAGGTCGTGCTGGCCGATACATACATGCGTGTACACGCTGGTTTTTCGTAGCTCCCGGACGAAAAAGAATTATTGCGAGGCACACCCTGCCCTGGAGAAATGCACTTCAATTACCGGTACGTTTTGTTTTTTTTTCTCGCTCTCTAGCTTTCTCTTATGAAACCCGCGAAACATTTCATAATATTCAACAAGGTCAGCACTGCAACGACGAAATCAGTCGATTTAATTTATCGAAGAACCACATTCAGATATGACTGGGGCTTCCAAAAACAAGAAATGCGTTTAGTATTAATGTAATTAATTCCCGTGCGTTGCGCACCGGACGATAAATAGAACGGGTAAACGAAAGCCCCCTCTCGTTTCCTCTGTTTTCGATTCTGCTGTCGAATTACAGACGGGCTATCATCGATGATTCAATGACTTCATTCAGGGGTCAAAATTGTAAATTTTTTGTTGTTTTTGTTTCTGTATTCCTTTGTATGGTCCTGTAGAAGTTTTTTTAATTTTTGTTGAACTTTCTGTACAGTTATTATATGTTATTGTAAATGCCTTTTATATCTTTATATATTATTGTATATTTACACTTTTTGTTTGTTTTCTAGACTTCCATACACTTGTGTATTGTACTAAAGGGCTCACAACCCGTATATAAATATAAATATAAATATAAATATAAATATAAATATAAATATAAATAGAATGAAATGAAATGAAATGAAATGAAATGAGATTAAATTAAATGAAATCATATTCAATTAAATTACATTAACTAAATTAAATTAAATTAGATTACATCGGGAGGCATCGGTCGGCTTGAATATGTGTCTCGAGGGAAATATTTTTTCTTTTTTAAAACATAGGTGAGAGGTTTATTTCCGTTGTGTATATACTTATGTTTCTTAGATACACATTTTCACATCTGTCAGTTACATTTTTTTGAGGAAGCAAAAATATAAAGACCCGCTATGTAATGTTTAGCTTTGATAGGTGATTTATTTTCATTTCCGCACGAAACGCTAATTGAAGTTTGGAAAATGAATCGGCGAGGCACTATTTTCGTTTGGACGTTGCACAGAAAGGACGTGAAATAATCTTTCAACCCCCTTCTCTATATTAAAGGAGATGGACAATTTGATTTCGAAAATTGCAAAAGGTTGAATTTGGTTTGCAGAAGTGTGAATTTCAATCGTAGAATGATAAATTTGATTTGCAGGAAGTTGAATTTGAAGTGCAAATGTTAAATTTGAGGTACAAAAACTGTAACACCAGCGCGAACTCAAGAGTGCCAGCCGAATTGTAACGATCTGCCCCGATTCGATTCATCGTGACGATAAATTCTCCGGTGAGAATTTTTGCCCGTGAAAGTCTCTGGGAATATATTGTGCATTCGATTCCACGCAACTTGGCCGACTTTCGACCTCCGCGACGCGTCTGTTAAAGCAACCGGAAATTCGTCCGGGGATAGGATTAAAGTGGCGACAGTAACGCGAGCTCTTGCGACGAATTATATTATAAACCTGTATTCTATGAAAGCTTCCTGTGCCTGGGGATAATGTAACCGTGGGGCCGGTGTCTTTTGTTTGAGATTATCGTTCACCGTGGGTGAAACTCGAGCGAACGAGAAAATGCGAAAGAACAAAACGATTATTAATTTTCATGGAAACGACAATTTGTTCAGGGAGTGGGACAATAGGGCAGGAAAAATTGAAACATCAACGTTCATTGGGTAGACAATTGACAGTTTATTATTATTTCTGTTGCAGTACTAGCTGCAGAATTTTGATCGATATTACCCATGTTACCCATTTCTAGAATTAACCTTTCTGGACTCACGTGATTCTCGAGTACATAGTGACTTGCATCGGTCTCTCGTACTAATTTTTAAATGATCGAAATATGATATATACGCCGTATAGTTTCATATAATTCAGTTTTAATATTCGCTTAGAATTATTCGCGAATGAGAAAATACAGAAAATAATAATGTCTTTAGAGACAGTCTTTAATAATTCTCCTCGTAAATTAGAAAATATCTAACATTACCTAAAAATTCAAATATGTGGAATTATAGAAATAGAAATTAATTGTTTTCAATATTCAGCAAGCACCTATACATTCCGTCATTCAGTAGAACACATTCAACCGTCAACAAGAACACATCGATCAGTCAGAACACAAGCAATATACAAATACACATACATAACGTTGTTAAGTTTATATTAAAATCTAAGTGTGTTACTAAGTTATGTCAATCATTTAAAACACATAATAACAATCACCATTACATCGTTCAAACGAGTTTCGCGGTATTAATTTACCAACGAGCAGTGGTTAATTCGCGAGCTAAAGTCATATGAAGTAAATATACTTATTATCATCTAAGCTACTACTGTTCAATTAATTTACAAGTTTCTCTGTCAACCCATTTGCATCATTTAAAAAATAATGAAAAATAGGTATTTGTAAGTCCATCAATAATGATGTAAACGGGTTAAAGAATATAACTAGAAGAGCAAACTCAAGCTAAACAAAGTGCACGAGGGTCAAACGAAACGGTTCCTCAACATAATTCCTATAATTATCCAGGTGTTCGTGATACGATGGCTGACAAAACGGCGGGATCCACGCGCGAAAATTCTATCCACGACCGAGGACCGACCAAAGGTATCTGGTCAGCCCTCGAACGACGAACCCACGAGAGATTGTTCGTCCGTGCGGAAGATACAGTCGATGGACATCTCGCGGCTGAAGAAGAGGATCGTCGAGACGATGAAGAGTATCGCGTCACCTCGACGGAAAAAGGACGCCTCCATGGATGGTGGCACGTTCCTGGCCAGGATTTATCGACTCCTGGCAAGAGATTCGACACGTCCAATGCCCGCGGAACGATCCTCGAACGAGGTCGAACGACTGTATAGAAACACAGACGAGGGAACAGAAGTCATAGACGGGGCCAAAAGGCAAAAATCTGACGACGATTCGGGGGTGAAAGTTTACGGTTGGAGGCGGATCGTGTTGATGTTAATCGGGACACGCGGTACAAGTTCCTCGTCGACCACACGTAGAAAATCGACCAACCGTGAATCGATCAACCGGGAATCGACGCGAATCACAATGTGGAGGAGAGGCGTACAGGTCGAGAAGCTCTGCGCTACATCGAAGACGATCGTGAATCCTTGTAGAAGAGACAATAGCTACCAAACCGAGCCTCTGGTGGTGCCAGACACACCTGATACACCGGGTGAAACGTCAGAAACAAGGATTCAGACCTCCGATCTGACAGTTTTGCTGGCGGACAGTTAGTTTCAATGCGAAATCGCGAGATTGGTTGGAGACTATTCTGTGGACAGGTCTAGGATCTTTGCGCGTTACGTGATGCTTTTATAGATTTATTTGTTTTATTTTTTGGTACAGCTGAAGAATGTCGAATATCTGTTCAGTGTTGAGCGAGGAAATGGGATGTGTTTACGATTTCTGTTATAAGATTGAAGGTATTCTGAGGTTGAGCTTTCCTTTAGGTTCTGAAGCGACCACAGCAAAATTTATGAATGTTTTGTTACGTTGGTTGTATTGGATCGATGCACACGAAATATTATTTTTGTACGGTACTGATTCAGTGATAATTGATTACAGTTTCATTTGTATCCTATTCGAGGGAATAGTGTTTCGTGAAATACATTTGGAGATAAACTGGAAAAGTTTTTTAAACGTGACAGCTGTGTATCCCTTGTAGCTCGATCGGAGAGAACGTTGTTTCGTGTGCATTAATTTGATACTCGGTTTACGGATCGAAAAGTAGATGAAGGTCAGACAATCGACGCGTTGTACAGAAACATTCAGTGTAATAAAGTTTGTAAAGGCGTCCACAGATAGAACGGTTCCCTGGACTGTGCAAGAAGCTTAGAATCTAAGGAGACAATATTTTAACTCTACTTGTGTAATAAAACGATCGATTCCGACGGTAACCGAA